AAAAGAGTAGTTTTCGGATATTTTTAAGAATTTTAAATTTTCTAAATTTTCGTAGTCATATTAAAAACACAGTCGATTTAAAAGTAAATAAAATAAAGAATTTTCTAATTTTCTCTAGAAGTCGAACATTGAAGAAAAATTTCTACTAAATTCTAATCAATTATCTGATTTTCCTTGAATATAATAATTGATATTGCAATGCTGTTTTTACAAACGTGATATTTCTGTAAGGAATGTTAAAGCTAAATTATTAACCATTTGTCGAACATGTAAATTAATAAAAATAGAAAGTAATAAATTCTCGTATTGTTCATATTGTAACATAATTTCTCGAAAGAGATAGAAAATATAATACACATACAATTTTATAATAATATAATTCGTTGAATATATTTATTAATGCAAAGGATTCTATTTTTGTCTTTTTGTGAATTGACAGGTCACCTCATAATTAAGGGATTTTTGCGTTTTCTTCTCAAGCAGAGTAAGGCTCGTATTTATATGTTGCTGTATCATTTTATTGTGGCAGTAAATGCTAATCGTGGTACTTATTTACCTATTTGATGATTCCATCTGGCGAAAGTATAATACATTTGCCACCATTACGGAGAATGCCGCACTAAACTTATCTGCCGTTTAATGTGGAGGATGCTCGCGGATTTATCTTACCGATCGCCCCTCAGCAATAATTAGCTCCTTAATGCGCCTCTCTTAAAACCGACTACCTATCAAATTCCAAACTACATCATAATAAACCTATTTATTTCACGCACCTCCGAACAGAAGTCTTGAATTATACAAATATTATATTATTCCTGTCATGTATTATCGAATTTAAGATACACTTTCCTAAAAAAATAATAATTTTTTACGGAGTTATCTTTTATTTGTTATTGAAAATGATCAACCTGACCATCTTAATATCATTAAAATTAAAAAAATATCTGTAAAACTGTAAACATATTGTTTTTTTACGACAGCAAATTCATCGAAAAATTCATCGAATCTTCTTTCTGAGTTAAAATTGGACTGTTTTGTCATCATTCGCGCGTCTGAATATTTAAAGCTCTACTACCTGTTATCCCGATCGTTCGAACGTTCCTAATTAAAGCGAGCGTTTCTTTTGCGGTTGCAGTTTTTCAATTTATGCGCTGCATCAACGCAGCCGTGCACGCGCAGTCGAATCGTTCAATCTAATGGCCTACCCAACCCGTTTTTAACAAGATATTTCCGTATTGTCGCACTCTCGCACACACGCGAAAGCGTGCCTCGGTACGTCCCCGTCCAGTCGTGTCAGCGCTAAATGGACCATCAGGGTCGCCATAAATCCCGGGGCTATCAGATCAGTGGCCGCAGCAGACTTGACTGTCCCAGATATAACGACGGACCACCGCCCAGCGTAATGGAAGAGCTCTCTGTCGACGCGCGAGAGAGATACGTTCCAGATGGGATCTGCACGCGCGGACCTGTCCATGAGAACACGCGGACTCCACCTGACTTTACCATTAAATACCCTTTTGCTTCGTTTCTGATGGCATTAAACATCGTACAAATTACGTTCCACGCGCTTTTGAATTTGGAGCACTAATTTGCCTTTAATTCTACTCCACATGTTTCGAAACTGTAAAATGATTTAATACTAAATTGGAATTTGGATACATCGTTATTAGATTTTCCATCAATTTTCAAATTTTAATCAATTTCAATCCTAATATTTTCAAGAAAAAGGCTATTTAATTCAAATATCATCTAATATCAAGTAATAGAAAATTTAAAGAAAATATATAGATTATGAAGTCTATTAAAAAAAAAACGTAACATTAATTTAATTATTTTTCAAAGCAAATTTTGTTTACAAAAGTAAAGTAGGTAAATTTTAATTTCTGATTTTGTTTCTGATATGTTTCAAAGATATCAGTAAAATTGAGAAAATTCTCAAAAATATAATATATTCTTATAATATTAATTTTTTCTTTTTAGCACTCATATTATTACAAAAATAAAATTTTAGTTGGCGATCTTTTTGTACGAAACAATTTGAAGATTTGAAAATGCGATTTACTTCTGCTCTAGCCTTTGATTTCCCGGCCTTTGATTTATCGCCAACGCGACTTGGCGTTAGTTTCGGTAGCGGATCGATACCGATAAGTCGCATCTTCACCGCAAGATCTATTGAGAAGTGCGGCTCGTCTCGCTGGAACAGGTAAATAGCCGAGGAACATTGTTAATTACACGGTCGTGCCGATATCGATGCCGGCTACCGGAGGTGAAATAACCAGGCCGCACGGCCGCCAGTAAAGATGGCATCGTGCACACTAACGAGTAACAAGTGGCGTGACGTTTCAGTTAGGCTTTACTTCGTCCAGGATTGGCAAGGAGGAAGATATCGGTATGCCACGACGAACTACCTATCGCCTCGACGGCCGAAGGCTAATTAACGCGAAGATTCATTATCGACACCTGGCCGCTCGTCCGGCTACCGTCTTAATTTAAACAAGAGTCTCGGTCCTTTTATTATTTGTCGCTACAGCGTAAATTAACTTTCATATTTTTATAACGTTAGGAGCTTGAAAGTTCACATTTTGTATTATGCTATAAAAATATTTGGAATTAAAGAATTTTCTTTAGGTAATGTCTTGTTTTTTTTTTTTTTTTTTTTTTGGTCATACTTCGCACGTGTCAAATGCTTCTGCTTGCAAGTCGCACTTCTCGTTTCGATTTGAAAGTTACAAATTAGAATTATCGCGTGCGTCGAATCAATACGCGAATACATATCTTTTCTTTTACGGTAACTTTCAAGTGCTAATACCACTGGCATCATTACTCCAATGTTCACAATGACGCTTTTGCTATGCAAAGTAGAAATTTGTACGAGGCGCAAGTAGCAATTGATTACCTGCGATCGGCTGCGCGTGCTTTGCATATAGCGCATTTGTGTTGAGTTAGTTAGTTACGCTTAAATGCAAATTGATGTTTTAATCGATCCTTTGGTACTTCGCGACTATATGTATAATAGGTCGGCTGCTTCGATTTATCAATGCCGACTATCTTATGAAATGACGTCTCTTTTCACAGATCTTTTCCCACGAGTACCATCTATATAAAAATTGATTCTTCTTAATTTTCTTCACTCTCAAAAAGAAAATATTTCCGATAATCAAAAAGATAAGTCGACATTATAATAAAGACATTATAAAAAGGACAAGCTATATTATAATCCACATAAAAATTAAATTATTTTCGTACATGTCATTTTTTTCATGATAAATTTTAAAAAGTGCAAAACACAAATTTTGTTTCAAGATTTTTCTTCGTTTATTAATAATTTATTATAAATTATTTTACATAATTTTTATATAATAATTTTTATATGATTATTAAGACACTAAGGTGTATATCAATTTTTATATAAGATACGTTTGTCATCTTTATCAATCAAATCAGATACAATTTTTATTATTTAGTTACTCATAAAATAATGGTACTTATAAACGGTATTATTAATATTATAAACGGCAAATAGATTACTTCTTAAAGTAGGGGTTCATCATGCAAAGACGTAACGATCGTTGCCTACTTTGAGGCTCGATCTTTACGAGATCGTAATATATAATACAAATCGGTATTTTATAAAAAAAATCTTAGAAGATAAATGCAGTAAATAATACAAATAGTTAATAAACATTTTTAAATATTAATAATAATAAAATATACACGAATAGAGTTTATTATTCTTTATCTTCGGGATAATGGTAGCTCGAAATCCATGAGCCTCCGTGGCGCAATCGGCTAGCGCGTTCGGCTGTTAACCGAAAGGTTGGTGGTTCGAGCCCACCCGGGGGCGTTTTTTTGCATTAAATTTCGTTGCAAGATACGCGTGATTGAAAAAAAAGATTCAGATGTCTTATGTAGCGAATATAGTTAGTTCCGCCATCGTTGAGTTTTTCTAGAATATTGATTGAGAGGAAAGAGGTTATCAGTAAAAAGACATGTGATAAATTTATATTCCAAAGACAAGATGACAAAATTTTGTATGTCAACACGTTAGATATAATTTAATGCCATCCTAAATATTTGATTATATTAATATCAAATATAATTTTATTTGCATTATGAATTAAATATTAATAAGCAATTAAAAAAAATTCAAAGTATTTATAATGTAAAATTTATTTTACTAGACAGCATAAACATTCGTACCATTCATTTCCTAATGATATTTATGTTTATATATTTATATATTCTTTGATTAAATATAAATGTATATATATATATATATAACTAGTATATATATATATATATATATATATAAATATATTTAATATTATTTAATATTAGTGTAATATTCACAGAATATTATTAAAGTAAAGAAAATATTAAGAATTAAAAAAAATGTTACTATATTTAATATCTTTTATTTTCATGAAATATTTATCTATATTTAAAACATTTTTATTTAAATATTTAAGAAAAATTTTTAATTTAGTAAATAAATGTATGCCATTAAACATATATTCCAATATTTTCATTTAAACACAAATAAAGAAACTTTATAATATTAAAAACTTATAAAATAAATTTCTCTGTATTTATATTATGCAGCAATATAGTACGACAAATTTGTTTTCATACGGCAATACAAAAATTTTATTTTTAATTTTAATTTTATTTTAATTTTATTTTAATTTTATCCAATGACCACATTTATTTTTGCGAAAGCTAAGAAACATATTTGCAATAAAGAAGGTCCACATTGAATTAAAATAAACTTGTTTGTTACGAAAGAGAAGTTTATTTACAATTCTTTTTTAATTGAATTTCTCAAATCTTTTCTGATCATATCTAATATCAATATATTGATGATGTTGATATTATCATCAAAATGTCACGGATTCTTCTTTGCACGCACTTGAATTCTCCCGCCTATCTTGATTCACAAGTACGATTTATTAATCGATACAGATATATCGATACATCGCAATTTATGCTCCATTCCGCGCCACGCGCATCAGCTCCGGAGCATTCGTTGCATTGTTGGCGTTTGCTTCTTCGTGACGACTTCGTTCAGTTGGGATCCCTCATCTTTTTCGCGAGCGAGTATCACGGGATCTACGCGTCTCGCGTGGGCTACTAGTTGATAAGATGACGGAAAACAAAACGGAATTCGTAAGTATCTCTTCGTATTTCTTGCGGCGACTTGCCTAAATCCATCATAACCTCAATCTTCATGCTCAATCTCTGAAATCTGTTTGCAATTATTACACGATGCAAAAAGTCTATTATTTTCTTCTCATTAATCCTAATTTTATCTAATTTTTTTAATTCGATTAATAATGTATATAATATATAATAATAAATTATAGTATAATATATATATATATATATATATATATAAAAATTCTTTCGATTACAAACTTGCAAAATTTGATAAGAAAGAAATGAATTCTTAATTATATGGCTATAAAATGTTATGTTATCATTATAAACGATTAAACTTAATTATAGCATTATAAGTATTTTTTTATATAAAATTTTTTTATTTAAAAATACTAATATATTAACATTTGTAGTTATTATATTGTGAAAGGATTAATAGAATTTATATTTTCTTTATTAGATCTTAAGATTTCATCTTTTTATATATGTATTTAAAAGTTCTTAGATAGAAAAAGTATTTAAGATAATTAATATCTGAAATTTTGTCTATCGAATGTATTTTCTTATAGGATTGGGGAAATGAGAAATTACAACGTGCTCAGAAGACTGTCGATGAATCGCCATATGATTTGGAAGCATGGAGTATACTCATAAGGGAAGCACAAAACAGACCGATTGTAGAAGTGAGACCAGTATTTGAGAAACTTGTTTCAGTATTCCCATCAGCTGGACGATATTGGAAAATTTATATAGAACAAGAGGTAATTATAAAATCATTCTGTATAAAAATTATTTTTATGAAACATTTAATGTAATAAATATCAAGAGATCGTTTAATATATTTTTTATTTTATATCTAAAAGAAATACTTGTAATGAAATTTTAATATATATATCTTTTTTGTTTCTTTAGATGAAAATGCGGAACTTTGAGAAGGTGGAAAAGGTATGTTAATATTAATTCTAAATCTATATGTTTAGTGTAAATAAGTTTATATATATCTTTTTATATATATCTAATTAAATTTACTTCCAAAATATTTCAAATGACACACAGAAAACTCAGTTTGTGCAAGTAAATAAATTAAGAATTAAAATAAAATATCTTTAAAATATTTAATGAATTAAATCCTCGTAATGAAATTTGATTCTTCGTTATAATTAAAATTGCTTAAATTTGTGTTTAATATGAAAAATTATACTTTGTATGATACTTTTATATTAATTGGTTTTAACTTATTAATTAATTTAATCAACAGACGCGTTTTTCTGTTGTAAAGTTAACTCTCTTATGAATGCTATTTTTACAGTATGGATGTTTCAATTTTGTTTGATTGCTGTAACATAACAGGCTAGAATTTTAGGATATTACTAACATGTCCGAATATTATAATGTGACTCTGAGCACTTTGCATATTATGTGAGGTGAATAAAAAGACTATTTCACCATAAACCAATTATTTCATTGATTAATAATGGATCTTTTTATATGTTTGGGAGGTTGTTTTCTTGGCCATTATTTATATTATTTGTTGTACAATTTATTTGAAAATAAACAGTTATTACAACAGGAATTCCAAAGAAGACAACTTTCTGAATATAATAGCCTTATATTCCTTCCTGTAATATATTTTTATTTGCGCTTAAGTGCTATGTTCGATCGGTACTAAATCAATTAGTATATAAATATTATTGCAAACGGGATAGCACTTATAATAAATACGATTCGAGATATATTTATATAACATAAAATCCTCAATCACGAAATAGTATATTGAGGAATATGTCTCATAATATTGTTTTATTCGACTATGAATATGAAAAGTTCCACACCTTCCCTATTAGCAATGTTTGAGAAAATTTGACATCAATAGTACTCAAATATTGCGATAATTTTTAGAAGTAGCATAAAGTGGTAAAATATTTAATTAAGCAATTTTATATATTCAATTATTTGTTCTCATTTGTTACGATCTATTACATTTTTCATGTTTATAAATATATTTTTTATTATCACTTTATGCTGCTTCACGTTGTCTTCATTTTTTTATAATGTCTTGGGATCACTCATTTCTGGATCCCACATAGGTTTGTTCTTCTATTGGCCCCAGATGCAGAAAATAAATAAATTTTTATTTATGGGGCTTTTTTATATAAAACATTATATAAAAAATATATATATTTTATATATGAAACTTATTAAGAATATTTCTTTTATTATTGCTAAATCATATATTTATACAATAAACTATTCTCAAATGATGCATTGGTGCATTATTATTTATCCCAATTTTATATATACAAATACTGTTGTTATTAGTGATTGTATTATTAAAAATTTTCTTAATAAATTCTGCCTGTTATTTCCTATGAAATAAATATACAATTTATCCCGTGATTTATATTAGAAAATGTTTAACTATGTGTAAAAAATGAAACTTGCCTTTATGGGTAAGTAAGTTGGTAGATATATATGTATGTATATATATCTTCCTTTGGGACAGGGTCTATGTGAAGCTTTATATTTACGGCGTCTAGTTTCTACGATACATTTATAAAATGTCTCTTTTGTCTAACAGCTTTTCCAAAGGTGCCTCATGAAAATATTAAATATTGAATTGTGGAAACTATATCTTTCTTATGTCAAAGAAACGAAAGCGAGTCTAACTACATATAAGTAAGTATATGAAAATATTTTATTTTAAACTATATAATTCCGGTGCAAGTATAAGCCGGAAGTCGTCGTTCTTTTTCTTAGCGATATTAAATTAATTTCATACAATCGGAACAAAATTACATTGTTTGCTTTTTATTAAAGCGAATTAATCATAACATTTTTCTAGGGAAAAAATGGCACAAGCATATGACTTCGCGTTGGATAAGATTGGCATGGACATACATTCTTACAGCATCTGGAATGACTACGTTATGTTTTTGAAGAGTGTCGAAGCAGTCGGATCATACGCGGAAAATCAGAAAATCAGCGCTGTACGAAAGGTAAGATGCTATATAAAACACTAAAATATATTTTAAAATAAATTATATTTTAAAATAAAATATTTTAAAATAAATTATAAAATATTTTAAAATAAATATTTTAAAATAAAATATATTTTACAACATTGAAAGAGAAATAAATTTAATATCCCGTATAATTTAAAAATAATTGCCGACGAATATTTTATTATAGGTGTATCAACGAGGTGTTATTAATCCTATGATTAACATGGAGCAATTGTGGAAGGATTACATGGCATTTGAGCAGAACATTAATCCAATAATCGCAGAGAAGATGGCCATCGAAAGATCGAGGGATTATATGAATGCAAGGCGTGTCGCTAAAGAATTGGAAGCTGTTACGAGAGGTTTAAATCGGAGTGCACCCAGCGTTCCTCCAACTGGTCATCCCGAAGAAGTTAAACAGGTATTTTATCTTGTTTGAATATATTAGTCGCAACATATGAAATATTTAATTTATAGTATATTTAATGTATTTTTATTAAGGTCGAATTATGGAAGAAATATATTGCATGGGAACGGAGTAATCCTCTTAGAACGGAAGATACGTCGCTTGTTGCTCGCAGGGTCATGTTTGCAATCGAACAATGTCTGTTATGTTTGGGTCATCATCCTGCGGTTTGGCATCAAGCAGCGCATTTTTTAGAATTGAGTTCAAAGATACTGACAGAGAAAGGTGACGTGAATGCAGCTAAGAATCTCAGCGACGAGGCTGCTACCATGTTCGAGAGAGCAACGAACACGTTATTGTCGAAGAACATGTTGTTATATTTTGCACATGCGGACTTCGAAGAGGGTAGAGTAAAATACGAGAAAGTTCATCAAATATATCAAAAGTTCCTCGATATACCTGACATAGATCCTACTCTGGTTAGTATACATATACATTTGTGCTATCTAATTACATTTTTGATTAACACATTAACATTTTTCGTTTTACACAGGCATACGTGCAATATATGAAATTTGCGAGAAGAGCCGAAGGTATAAAATCTGCAAGAACAGTATTTAAACGAGCACGAGAAGATATCAGATGTAAACATCATGTTTATGTTGCTGCTGCGTTAATGGAATACTATTGTACTAAAGATAAAAATATAGCATTCCGTATATTCGAATTAGGTTTAAAGAAATTTGGAGATAATCCTGATTATATTCTTTGTTACATAGATTACCTATCGCATTTAAACGGTAAGAATTTACGAACATATGTAATTTATTAATAAATTCTGTTTTATGTATGTGAATGATTATGTATGTTATTATATATCGTAAATTATTGCAGAGGATAACAATACAAGAGTCTTATTCGAGAGAGTATTATCTTCTGGTAGCCTGGAACCAGAAAAATCAGTGTATGTGTATATATATATCATATTAAATATGTTTTACTATTATTATAAACTATAATTTTCGCAAATAGTAATTCATTATTTCTTGCAGAGATATATGGAATCGTTTTTTGGAATTTGAATCTAATATCGGCGATTTAGCTAGTATCGTCAAAGTTGAGAAGAGACGAAGTGCAGTATTGGAAAAGGTTATATATTTGTCTCAAACGTAGCTTATAATACAAAAAATAATAAATAATCATTTAAATTATTATTTGTCTGTTCCATTAGATTAAGGAATTTGAAGGAAAAGAAACCGCCCAATTAGTAGACAGATATAAATTTTTAGATTTATATCCATGTACTCCCATGGAATTGAGATCAATTGGATACATGGATGTTTCAAGCGTTGCTAGAAATTCTATTGGTGTTATACCCCGCGTACCTGATCCAGAAGAAGCAATTGCTGCGTTACCCAGACCTGATTTATCACAAATGATACCATATAAACCAAAAGTGAATCCTTTGCCTGGTGAACATCCAGTACCAGGTAAACCATCAACTATATTACATCCGTTTAAACTATATCAAATGTAATCAGCTCTGTATATATTCTCATGTTTATTGTTATATTCTAGGTGGTTCATTTCCATTACCACCAGCCGCAGCTCAATTATGCACTATGTTGCCGCCACCTGGTTGCTTTAGAGGCCCATTCGTTGCCGTTGATTTACTGATGGATGTTTTCAGCAGAATTCAATTACCCGATCATGGTAGTTATTATCGCTTCACATATAAATTCTTTTCTATAAACATCGCGTTATACAAAATTGAAATTTTACAGCTCCATTGCCAGTGGCAGATAATGGATGTGACACAAAGTTGTTCGATCTTGCGAAATCTGTACATTGGATCGTCGATGAAAGTAACGATGGCATGAGCATCGGATCGAAACGTAGACGAACGCGTTTAGGTGGCGACGACAGCGAGGAGGAAGATTTACCGCCTCCACCTATAAACGATATTTACCGCCAAAGACAACAAAAGCGAGTCAAATGAATGATTCATGAAATGAAAAAGATGAATGGCTTATAAATGAAACATATATGAATGACCATGTAAATGAAACATATATGAATGACCATGTAAATGAAACATATATGAATGACCATGTAAATGAAACATATATGAATGGTCACAATGATTCATGTCACGAATATATTTTTATGATTTCATTTTGTACCATTACTTATGTAGGAAGACACAGACTTATCATTATTGTGAAATATACATTTGTAAAGTTATTAAATATCTTACGTGACATCGTGCACGATATTTTGAGTACTATGTACTCAGAAATTTTATCTTTGCATCTTTTGATTTATTCTAAAATGGAAAAAAAAGAAAATACTGCCTATAATTTATAGATAAACGAACTTCTGTGATCCATGCGTAAAATAAATCGATTTCAATTCTATTAAATTAAAATTGGCATTATAATGAGATTATAATCATTGTATAAGACGATGGATGTCATGTCCGTATAAATTTTGTCGCAAGTATTGACATCGCATTTAATATTTTTATTTTCTGGAGAAACTCCTATGTCAATATTCATTTAAAATGTATGTAACTTATCATACAGGACCAATAAATGATTAATGTGATATTACGTTATACTATCGCAATATAATTTTATATCTATCCCAGTATTACAGGTAAAACTTTAAAATTTAGAGACTCTTTGAGACTGTGAGGATAATGCGTTGTCACAGAAAATTTATTTTAAATAGCGAACAAGATGTGTGTGTGTGTGTGTGTGTGTGTGTGTGTGTGTGTGTGTGTGTGTGTGTGTGTGTGTGTGTGTGTGTGTACACGTCCAACATTTTTAAATTTGACAAAAAAATTCTTTGTTATCATTTTTTTTATCACTGTAGATAGAAGATCACTAGATATACGATTGGGTCGGTTAACAGATTGGGGATATTAACGCCTCAATGAAGTAAATAGTTCGTCATCAGCGCTTCTCGCGGGTAAGGTAGACTTTGTTAGCAGGTACAACTTTACGATAAGGGTGCAATTAAACTTTGATCACTATTCCTAGTTCGAGTGGCTGGTAATGGCCCCCTTGGGTTAACGGTAAATTGGGCTGCGGGCTTCGAAAATAGTTGGCATCCGCAGTTAGAGCTGCATCGAAAACTTGATAAACGACCGAAATCTGCACGAAACCGCATCAGTTTGTCAACCGTTTCGACGAATTTTGGATATCATTTTAGAAAAAAATTGATTTGCCTGGTTCAGAAATCTGATACTAAGATTCAACCGTAGAGTTAAAGCATTTAAGTATGTATCACTTTTATTCATTAATTTATTTTTAGGATAGAATTTCATGATGCTTTATTAATCTTTTCTATAATAAATTTATTAATCTTTTCTATAATAATAAAATGATTTAATGGAGGCATGCTTAAATAAATATTAATATTAAAAAAAAATAGATATTTTTAAACATATTTACAATTCATTTAGAATAAATTAAATATATATAATTAAAATAAAAATTTAGTAAGAAATGCATAACTTATATTTTGTTTTCGAACGAATACTAATAGAAAATTCAATATACAGGATATTTCAATTTTGATCAATCAATTATAAATATTTTCAAAATTATTACATTATTTTATTCTCTTATTGATATTGTGTTAAATTTGTTGTAAAATAGAAGTGATGTAATGTCTACCTCTCTATAGTTTGTTATAGATAGATTGGTAGACTTTTAAACGATACGTTAAATCTGCGGGGTAACTATGGGGTATATTGGCCGCTTTATCGTCTTAATTACTACTGAATGAAGTGCATGCGATGAACAGTGCATGATGGTGAGGGGGTATCCAAACTCTATTACGCGCGCATAAATCCTCGAGCGTTTGACGCGTAACTACGGCATACTTGCGCGTCCATCTATCTTGGGTCGGGATACCTCACACTTGTACTCTTCTAGAACCGCCTGCGCCATCGAGATTCCCCCTGATGAGCGTAACGTGCCCCCTCCTGGGAAATCGATGTCGCAGTCTCGGTATGACTTAATTATGCTGGCTCGTTCATCACATTTTGGTAAGCACGACGTGATAACGAACATAAAAGAGAAATTTCATCGTTCCTTTTTAATACATCAACATAAAATCTCAAGCAAGAATTTTTAAGTCAAACCGCTTCGATATTGATTGGCTACTTTAATATACAAAAGAAAAAAATTGATCTCGAGTTTGTAGACGAATACATTATTAACACGAACGAAGCTAATCGTCCTATCAAAAATCGCAATAAATCGCTGCATCGATCACTTAAAGAAAAAAAATTAACTATTTTGAATGACTTTATGCAAGCTTGAATGTTTCTCGTAAGTTTCTCGGCGAGATAGTAGTGCCGTATTATTTCCAAGTGGATAACAAACGCGCAAATTCTGGTAGACACCTGGAAACCCTCGAGAGGTCCAGGTGTTTCTTTACAGATGTAATAACGCGCTGGTACAGTACTTAAACGTGTATCCTTCTCTTATCTGTATCAGAAAGCTTTTACTGCAACTACAGGAAACTATTTACTTGCGCGATAAATAAATTATCAAAGATTAGCACATCGAGTTCATTAAACTGCGTCGTCTGAATCGTTGAAAAATAATATAAGCGCGACTATTGCAATACAGAAATGTGCGTGACAAATCATTTTAATAATTAATAACCGTTTTAATATTATATCAATAATTTAATTGTAATTACATTTAATTTCAATTTAATAATAATTATTTTAATATTACTTCCGTAATTATCATTGTAATATATCCAATAGTAATTATATTGCTATGAATAAAAAATAGCACCATAATTAAGAATTTTTCAAACTTTTATTTTTAATTAAGTAATATAAATAAAAAATATTTTAAAGTTATTATTTTTTTATTATATTGTACACATATATGTATTTCGTTCTTTTTTTTTATTCTTTTTATTATTCTCAAATTAGATAGTATCTCATTTTTACTTTTCCTCAAATATTTATTATACTGTCACTCATAAAAAAACGTTTGTACACGGTTGTATGTGTAAATGTATGTGAGTACCCATGATGTATTGAGCTCCAGTCGGTGGGCTCGCTAAGCCCAAACGATTGTTCGGATCAGTCATCCTTGCGAGATTGGTTCTAAAAAAAAAAGATTATATCCCCTAGTATCAACTGGCTTAGTATCTCGAATTTTATTCGCACTATGGTGCACATGTGTGCAATTTCATTCCAATTTGAATAATTATTTCTCTTATAGGATCTTAAAGCCTCGAATAATTTTAACGTTATATAAAACTTTGATCCACAGTTATCATCATTTTATCAGTTTTATTATCCATTGGTCAAAAATACTTGAAAAACTCGCAAAAAGTTATAAAAAATATTGAAATAAATGTTCTTGAAAACGATTAAGATTAAATGCGATAAAGGATTGAACATATTTTTAATTATCCTTTATTATATTAATACACTTGTCATCATATTATTATATTATTGATATATTTCAAATTTTATAAGCATAAAAAATTTTAAAGTTTCCAAAAATTTTCGTTCATCAAGGATATCAGAAAAATACACATCTGTGCAACGTTGTGGAAATAAAATAAGAATAAAACGGATGGTCTTTCATAATTTACATTCGCGACTGCATATAATAAAATTTGCATTAATGTTGATAAATTTTTAAATTTATGCTATTTTCAATAATATTCTTGCGATATATTTCAAAATCTATTACGAATCTATTTCTTACGTCTCCTAGAATAAGCTATCGAAGAAGACATCTTTTTTAGATATATAGATATATAGATAAATAATTTTTATGATAAAAAGTCTACAATCAATAAGAAAATTAAGTACTGTTATTTAATAACAATAAAAATAAGAAGAATATAAATAATAAGAATAAATTAAATTATATAAACAAATTAAAAATGATTATTAGGATATTTTTTCTCATGATGCTTAATAATTACAATACTGTATTTATAAAATTCGTACGATGTAAAAATTCAATGATGAACAAAGTAAGGAAACAAAATGATTAACATTATATTTAATTTATTTTATTACTACGTGATCGCTTATTATATTTATGTCTTACGATGCTTAGCGCTCAAGTCGAAAATTATTTGATTGAACATATTATGTATAATTTCTACAATATATTGACATAATAATTTGTACGATTACTTTTTGCTACTACGGTTTCTACGAGTTGGAAACAGCCTCGGGATTATGTGTAATTAAATAATGCAAACTGAAGCGTAGCAGTAGATGGTTAAAAGCGCCGAATGCATATTTCATCCTGAAAGATGAAACAACGTAGGCAGAGAAGGGTTTTTAATCATTAAATTTACAGAAGGATTAAAAACGATTATGAACAAAGGACAGACGATTGCGAAGTCACTATTTAATTATTCGGTGAAAAGTTTTTGTCACTTTTGATTCACATCAGCGAACTATAAAGCCGATCTTTTCGTCAGAAAGTTCGAGAATAAAACCAGCATGGTACCGCTAATTTTTCTCCGTTTTCGTGACACCGACGGGAGAAAATTAGGATCTATTTCGCCATTATGTACGACCAGCTCGATTTACTCGATTCCAACTATCGGGACGTATATCGTCCCCTGCGACGTTAACGAAGATTTTACAAACTGACGCCGCCATTAATTCTGCAAGCGCGAAAATTTAGGGAGACGTCGGCCCTGCTACTCGCCCGGGACGCGACTTGGGGCGGTCTTTGAAACTTTGGTTCTATCTCGGAGGAAGACAAATGACAAGAGCCGAAAGCAGCAGGCCCTGGCTGCTGTTCGTACTCGGCCTTTCATAGGACGCTAACGCATAACTCTCGTACTTAGTGGTGTGCACGGGACTACTCCCAGATAGAGCTGGTAAGAGTAATTTCTTCCTTGCATCGGTAACGATAAGAGTAACAACGATCACGATCGTCCTCTCCTCGACCAACTTTGAAATTCTGCCCGGAGGCACTCTACACGTCGATTGGAAATTTTAAAATTACGAGATTTGTCCTATTTTGAATGAATGCGACGTTTACTTCTTCAGGACAATTTCGACAATAAGCATGAAATATTTTTTTCGAAATTTAATAAAGATTATATATTCTATACATAATTCATTTACATAGATTTTCTATATTACAATAGAACACTCCTTACCTGTCTCTTCTTACCTTCTCTACGTTTAAATCTGCTGTCTCACAATATCTCACGTCTATCTCTTAATTTATTTACACATACACACACACACACACACACACACACACACACACACACACTATATATATATATATATATATATATATATATATA